CCCAACAGTGAGTAGCAACTTTAGCGATAGTCTGTAGGTCTTGTCGCCTCTTGTAGCTGCTTCAAATATTTGGTGCGAGTGCAAGATGTTGGATTATGCTGCAATAGCTGTCTGTTTGACTCCTCATATGGGTCAGCCATGGGCTTTCTGTGTGGTTTTCACAGGCCCGAGTCCCACCCCTCCCCCTCCTTTTCCACCAACAAGCATGTCGTAGGAGATGACTAATTAGGGGTGTATCTTTAAAGTCAGAATGCCTCTGCTTGAGAGAACAAGAGTCCATAGTCTGTCCATAAATAAGCTACATCTGTCAAATTAATGTGCAGGCAAAAGTCACGTTCTGGATCAGGACCAAAGTTCAGGAGTGGACGAACAACCACAACTTTCCGCCGAAGTTTACAGCCGGTGAATGCTAAGAAGTGGTCGAGAAACAGAACATTTATGAGGTGAACCCGTAGAGATGAAGTTGAAACTCTGAGTGATAGTCCTGATAGCTAATATACTTCTTTGTCAATTAACACACAAAAAACATATTTCTTAGTCAGGGGGGCTGCGTGGTCTCGAGGCATGGTGTCTGCCTCGAGTGCTAAAGGGTTCTGGGTTCAGACCCAGATAAAGGCTCGGATTTTTTTTACGTGGACTTCTAGTAATTTCTTCTGGTCTCTGGGTAGTGAGACCGGACGCCAGTGTGTATCGTTGCGCAAGTAAAAATTTCTTGGCAGTTGGACATCGAGAAGAGTAGACTGACGGCGCTGTCCGGGCACAATTCGGATTTAAAAATCTACACAAAGTATTTCAGTATCATCGCCGGTGCTACAGAGTTCGTGCCCTGCGAGATTCTTCGTGTGCCATGATGTTGGTACGTCGTCCAAACCGTCTATACTTCCCAGTCAGTACAAAACTTACCTCTAAATCAGTTATAAAACTTTGTTTTCTCAAATTATTATAAAACTTACTTTTGTGGTTCCTTTGGGTCTTTCCTCTTCTTTCTTTTGCATGCCTTTGACCGTTTGACCGCAGATATAGAGGCGGATCCACTGCCCACAGAGGCCTTGTCCGTCGCTTGGGGCGCTGAGTTACTGGCGGTCTGGTTGGCTCCAGTGCTGGAGGTCTCTGGTTGGTTTGTTGGCTGCAAATGTGTGATACTGTCAACGTTGTGCTATGTTCTTGTGTGTGTGTGTGCGTGTGTGGTGTGTGTGTGTGTGTATGTGTGTGGGAGTGTGGTAGGTGATTGTATGTGTACGCATGTGTGTTTATGTGTATATATATATATATATATATATATATATATATATATATATATATATATATATATGGGGTTGATACTTTTCCGTCTTTCCAGACGATAATGTTCCATTGCTATGTGGAGGCATGGGACTCACAATCCATGGCGATGGCGAGTGTGACTAGCAAGACCCGCCCGCGTTATGAAAAGTCTTCCACAATTATAGCGCGGGATTTTAGGACCGTTGTTGTCAACATTAGGGTAAATTTTACTGTGGTCTCCTCATTTTCACACCGCTACACATTAGCTCGCTTCTGATTGGGCGACCTATTGACCACATCACTTCTGATAGGTCCACCACGAGCGATTTGACTTTCGCACAAGGTCTCGGGGATATTCCGCCAGCGCTTTTAACACTTCTGAAACATATAGCTACTAGGTCTAACCACGGCCAACTCTAGATATAAATATACAGCCGGACGTGGTCTAACACACAACCCCCTAAAGGTAAAGGTAAAGTCGGGAGATGTGAACCAGCGTCATTGCACACCTTTATAAACCATAAGTGCTCTACCACCAGTACGGACAGCTGATAAGAATTGTCCGCCTGTGTCGCCATTCGCACGTAACTCTGTAACTACAGCGACGTTCCTCCATTTACCTCAGAGTGTCACTCTGGTTTCAATTTCCTGGAGGCTGGGTGAACCCCGGAAACCACCCAGTTTCGAACACCAACCGTAGCTGCAGCGAGTGGCAGCTGGATTTGAGCACAAGTAGCTGTAGTAGTATAGTGACTGTAGCAGCCCCCTAGAGAGTGAGAAAACCTTCGTCACAGGCCGTCTCTTTCTCTGAAATAACAACGTAAATACCAGACAACAAAAGACTGCGACACCTATAACCTCGCCCACGGTAGACTAGTCCAACCAACTTATTAATGGAGTTGACATACAACTGGTGGTGTGCAAATGGAGAGACCATCGTAAAAATAACCAACATTTGCGTTTAGTCGATTACATCTCAGACGCTCAGCTCTCCTCCTTTTTGCAATAATTTTTTCCTTTATTTTCATTCCCTTTCTGTTGTGCCTCCTCCACAGAACACGGTCCATGGCATTTTGTTTGAGTCCACCTCAATACCTGTATCAAACATGTCCCGCTTGCACACATCTTTATAGATGTCGAATCATAAATATGTGTGTGTGTGTGAATATGTGTACGCCAGTTTGTATGTGAATATGTCTATACATTTAGTTTATGTGTATGAATGTATGTGTGGGTTCGTGTGCATGTTTCTAAGTTGGTAAAAATGTGTGTGTGTGTCAATAGTGTTCAAAACGAATGATTACCCAATATCACATAAACAAACGTTTAGAATGGGAGATTTACACTAGTTGCAATACACAATAACGGAAATTATCACTTTGGTTCTTCCATGTCAAAGACTTTTGTCTAGTTTTTTAATTGTATTTCTTTGACAAAGGCTTTGACCGAAACGTTTTGTCGTTTTCTGTGCTTGTTTTTTCCTTTGTTGAGCTTGATGAATGCGTGGGAAAAAGATAATAAGGAGATAGGCCTTTCGTCCATGAATGAACTCCTTAGGGCTCCTGGGGGGGGGGGGGGGCGGTCTCGTCGCATGGTGTCCGCCTCAAGTGCTAGAGGTTCCGGGTTCAATCCCCGTGTGGACTTGGACTTTCAGTAATTCCCCGTGGTCTCTGAATAGTAAGATCGGACGCCCGAGTGTATTGCTGCGCTCATAAAAAATCCACATAGCAGTTGGAAATCGAAAAGAATAGCCTAACGGCGCTGCTCGGGTAAAATTTGGAGTTGAAAATCTACTAAAAGTATTTCAGGATCGTCGCCGGTGCTGCAGAGTATGTGCACTGTGCTTAGACTTGAGTCAGAAGAATAACGGAGCACTTCTGGGTTACCACCCGTGTGCTATGATGTTGATCCGTTGTTCAAACCTCAAACTTACAAACTAGCTGCCGCAAGTGCCCTTATAACTTCTTTAGAGATTGAACTGGGTAACTGGAATCTGATCTGTTAATCTGCCATCCAGCGTGAGACAGTTTTTATCAGGGCGGTAACCTGAATACTGAGTTAGCAATCCACATTGTAGCGCACTGGACATACCCATAGGTGCTCCGTCTCCAGCAGCAAATGCCATCAGATGCTAACTGCTCCCATAGCCCAATGATTAGACTCTCGTCGTTCCTCTCATACGTCCCTCCTTGCCGGATCCACGCCTAACTCCATGTCCACCCATTCTTACACATGCTATTTCATCTAATCTTGTGTCTCCTGTCAATTTTCTTCATAATTTTCTTAAGGCTGGCTCCTTTGTCCATTACGAATATTCATGAAGCTATCGCTTTTGCAGCCTAAAAATCCGATCTTTTATCCCCTCCCACTCCTGAATATCTCGGACAGTATATTCACACCAGTTCTTTTAACGTTAACATGCTGTATTGGACATTCGGTAGCAGCTCGGAGGCAACTAATGGATATGTACATGAGTGAACAATGGGGGGGGGGGGAGGGGCTAGGGTAGGCTGTCGGACTAATGGTGTGGTCTTATTCTTCTTAAAGTCCTTGCCGTGTGGCATTGGTAGTCACGTCTGTCCACAAGCTTCCGTCTTGTGTACTTTCAATCAACGCTGAGACAGATATGATCCCCCATAGTCCATGCTGTTTGGCGTTGGTAGTCATGTCAATCCACAACCTTCTGTCTTGTGTACTTTTACTCAGCGCTGAAACAGATGATCCCCAATGCCATAATGTCAAACTGTCCAGCATCTTTTCTCTTGTTCTCCCTCTGCCTCTCCTTCCCTCCAACTTTCATCACATGACTAAAGAAGGTAGACTGTCTCTTTCTGATGTGGGAAATCATTTGTTTTCGTGAGTCAGTTTCTTTCTAGTCTGGATTTATGCGACTTATAAATAGTGGTATTATATTTTTAATTCACCCCAACGCAGAAAATCCCGGAGTTTCTGGGAAAGTCTAATATATTAACTACTGGTGTCATGGGTTGGGTTAGGGTTAGGATCTGTGTCAGTCCCGAATGCCTCAGAGACACCAAACTAACCCTAACTGTAAACCCTAACCCTAACCCCAAATCACCATAACACCCCTAGAATATTTGATTTTCCAGGAACTCCGGGATTTATTTACCTTTGTTTGGGGTTTATTTTAAAAAGTACCTAAAAAATGAGCCCTGGGGAAGTGTGTGTGAGGCCCATAAGGGAAACATAGAATTGTGACATTGATCCAGGACCTGTTTCCAAGTGCTGATGTCTACGGTGGTACCCGCATATTTTTACAGACAACACAGCACGCCATAAGTTTTGTGGTTACTGTCGCACCGGCCGCCTTTACTTTCCATAATAATTCCTCGTACCAGTGGGTTTCATAATGGTTGCAGTAATGGTTGTAGTAGTTCTAGTCGTAGTGGTAATGGTGTAGGTGGTGGTAGAAGTAGTAGTGGTGGCAGTAAAAGTACTAGGGGTGGTGATGGTTGTGGCGGCGGTTGTAATATAATAATAATTATTATTTTTATTATAAGTAGCAGTTGTAATAGTAACAGGTAACAGTAGTAGTTACTAATAAAAGCAATAAATGTTTTGTTGTTGTTGATGTTTGAGTATTTGTAGTAGTATAGTAGAAGTAGTTGTTGTTATTGTTGTTGTTGTAGAAGTGGTGGTGGCGGCGGTAGTAGCAATATTAAATTCTTATTATTATTATTACAGCAGCAGCAGCAGTAGTTGTAGCAGTTGTGGTGTAGTGATTACTACTAGTAGTAGTTGCTTTTTTCTTAATATTTTAGTGGTAGTAGTTGTTCTAGTTGCTAGTAGTAGTAGCAGTTGTTGTTGCTGCTGCTGTTGTTGTGGTTGTACAACAGCAGCATGTCTAGGATTACTAACAGCATCATGTTGGGAACGTTTATCGTTGTTTGTTTGACAAGACGAAGCGGCATTGCTGTGAGAACCTGTTGCAGTGTGGTCTGTTGTAGTCGCTAGTCTAACATGGCTGCAACATTTCAAACGCTCCCACTATACTATCAGTGAAAGCCCATAACAATAAACACACGGTCAACAGATGTTCAGCGCTTTTGAACAGTCTCATGAAAACTGTAGCTTTATGGCGAAATTTTATTGCAGTGAATTGTTAAATTCATTACCTACCGTATAAGTATATAAAATTAGTTTATTATTGTAAAGGTTTCGTATTTTCAATTCTAATGTTATTTTAATTTCAACAAATGTCATTCAAATATGGAAAACCACCAATGGCCTGGAATAAAATTTAAATTTAAATTTAAAGCCATATAAATTTGGAACACAGTTTTGTATATTATTTTAGAACCCCATTCCGTCTGTAGTCGGTGGCCCTAATATAACCTAACGGTTGAATGGGGTTTCTGGGACGTGTTCAGGCGATCCTCATCTGAATGGTGGCACTTTGTGTCACCGGGTGTTGGTCGCTCGTTGTGCGGTCCTTTTGGGGTTGAACGACAAAAAAAAAATGCATGAGGGAAATGACAAACATAAAATCGGATAAAATCCGGATAATCACTGGTAACTAGTGGCTATTAACTCTTTGAGTCCCAGAGGGTTTAGCATCAGATACCCAATGGGTACTCAAGAATGACGTAAAATCAGCGCATCTTGCGTTCACTGGTCTTTTAGGTAGGGACCTATGATCGTATGATGCGTTTCTTGGGACTCAAAGAGTTAATGTTACTAACTAGTGGTAACTAGGTGGCTGCGTGGTCTCGAGGCATGGCACTGGAGGTCCTGGGTTCAGGTCTCACTGAAGGCTGGGACTTTTTTATGTGGACTTCTAGTAATTTCTGCGTGGATTTTTATCATGGTATGGGTC